CCGAAAATAAAATAATTTGCGACTGTGTCGGTCTGCGGTGCCGACATGCCGCCTTTCGGACCGAATACGGTGCGCGTGTACCAAATGCACTGAGTGTAGCGGCAATCCATCAAAAAGGACTTATCGCGATATCGCGATGTCATATACGTGAGCATATTTCTTGTTCAATTTATCATAGAGTACTGACAAATGAGCGACACGGAAAGAAGTTACGATGAGATTTCAAATCCGCAAAATTGCACATTTCCAGCGATCGGCCGGCGGCGCGCACGTTAAAACCGTGAAATTGATCTAATTCAGAGAATGAAACAATTATCGTCGGNTTGTTGCGCAAAAATTAGAGTACGCTTGCTGAACTTTAATCTTGCTGGTTAATTTATCACGCACAGACTCTCTCTCTCTCTCTCTCTCTCTCTCTCTCTCTCTCGCTCTCTCCCTTCCTCTTTAAAACATGTAACACGTTATCACGTTAATCTATCTTAAAAAATAAAAGATAGATAACACAATTTTTTAGTACAAAGTTAAAAAAAAATGAACCATATAAACAGTATGAATGATAGTATAAAAAATATAAGACGACAATAACATACGAGAAGAAGAGATGCGAAGAAAATTAAAATTAATCCACTTCGTATTATTTTAAAAGTATGGTCAGAATTAATGTAATACGCATATTTTAAATATTTTTTTTTTTCGGAATTCAGTATCGATTTGTCTTAAATTACCACACACGTGCCACAATAATATCGTTTGCCAGACCAGAAATACATCCATANTTTACATTCTTTTTTATTTTGTGCTGGTGCAATTTGTATTTGCGGTGAAATGGATTTCTAACACCTCTTAGATTTCATGCAGAAAACGAGTGCATTATTCCACATTCTGTTTTGGTGCTAGGAAAAACAATTCTCACAGTGCAGTTTCTCTTGTCAGGTGGAAGTCACGCGAAGAATATAATTGTTACGAACAACCGTGTGTGTTCGCAGCGGTTCGAGAAATAAAACGTTTTTCGCGGACGCGCGGAGACTCTGGTATAACGGCGAACTAAACATGTGTGTTTTTATTTTCCCAAACAATTTCTCATGTTGATGTTGAGGTTCTCTTTTTAGTCAAACTGTCTACAAGCAAACGCGGGGGAAACGTTGAAAGCCATTACACGTTTATTGTGTACACAGTGACCATCTTACTATGCACATCTGGTTTATAAATTCTCTCAGGAACTAAACACGAAGGACCTTTGCGAAGGGAGACATTGCGCGATAAGAGAGCGAGGATTAAATTAAATGTAAACTCGGTGTGTACAGATCTCTCGTAGACTTAATGACGATAAAGAGCCGTACCGTACGTATCGCCGCGTGTATCAAAAAAGTTTGCGCATGCGACGAGGGCCGCGTTGCAAAAATGCGAGAGCTAAGCATAGCTATGTTAAAAATAATGATAAAGTGGCCTTGAAGGTTTGCGTTTAAAAATATTTTTCAAACGCTTCTTTTGCAACGTAACTTACAATGTTATATACGTTGTATGTATACAGAAACCTCGTGACACTCGCATTTTTCCAACAGCAAAAGGCTGTGTTTCTAGAACACGCGCGTCGTATACCACATACATATGTAAGTACACACGTACGCGGAATATATATTCAGATTTAGACGCGACAAATAATATAAAATATTAATCTCAAGATGAGAATGTAGTCGCGCGAAAAAAAAAAAACGTATACGCGTCTCGAATTTTTTTTCCGTATAAAATTTTTATAAATATCCTGTACTATTTTTGAATATATTCTTTATTTAGTCTTTGTTAAGTTCTTTGTTAAGTGTCTCGGTGAAGTTTTAGAATTGGCTGATGATAGTGCGTTTTTACTGATTGACCGATANAATCTGAGAAAAAATGCTTCTTTATCACTCGTGCAGCCCTCTACCTACCTTGTAACTGCAACCGTATCCCCGGTAAGTTTGCATGATTATTACAAGCCGTATACCATCGATTACAAGAGAGAGAGATCTTCGTTGAATTATTCAAGGAGTTACACACGCGATAACTGCAGTATGTGAAAGAGCGTCATGTAAAACATCCTATTCGCTCTTGTGAATCAACCAACTACCTACCTTGCCTCGTTAAGTTGACAGTAAACTACTGTAAGACGGAAGTAGTTAAATTATGCAATAGGATATGTATTCAAGCGTGTATAAAGCGGAAAGGGTGGGAGGGAGGGAGAAATGAATGGAGAAAGAGAGAGAGAGAGAGAGAGAGAGAGAGAGAAAGAGAGAGGGAGAGAGAGAGAAAATGAAAACTAATCTCTGCGAGATTTCAGATCGGAGACAAACTTGCGTGCTATCGTGTATAGAAGTGACAGAACTATTCATTATCAAGCATGAGGTATAACTTTTGTAAATTAATGCTGGGAGAGATAATATATCGGAGAAGAGAGTTGCCANAGCATCTGAGAACGGCTCTCTAATCAATATCATAAAATAAAGTGAATATATTACTCGATAACCGTGTACCCAATGTGTGCATAGTTTAGAAAACATTGTACGTACGGTGTTCGTATATATATTTTTGCACGTATTTACAATTATATTATATTCATATTTTATGGTTGTGTCGTGATGGAAAAACCATTAGTAAGTGTGTTCGCAAATATTTTATANATTTATAAAATTCTGCGTGGCTGTAATCTGTTATTTTAAAATTATATTTAACAGATATTTATGATATACATAATTCAGCTTTGATTTTAATAAGATAAATTTTGTAACGAATGTATAAAATTTTAAACGCGATGAATTTTATTTTATTGAGTAATATATATTTAATCAATTTATATCAATAGCGTAGAAAGTATAGAAATAATTGCAAAAAAAAAAAAACACAACCAACATTACGAATACACACGTGGATTGGATCTATTTACNAGCGTAATAATGTATATATCACAAGCGTTCTAATAGACTATATTTTTTTACAGCAGAAGATGCGCAGTGCAATTCTTAACAAGCCAGCAGCTTTTTTTCTATAAAATTGCTCCCTATGTGCAAGCAAACCTAAACAAAGTTGATACACCAGTGGGAAATTAAGACTAACTGTTAAATTAAATACAACATAAGTGAAAAACGCAGTGCGCGCTGCGGTTTGTACTTACTGTTCACGTTCCTCCATTTTGACCACCCGAGTAATGTCTGTGTTTTGTTTAGCAAGTCCAAATTAAAAAAGTAGAGCAGAAACGAATCAGTTTTGTGTTAATGACGACTACTGAACGAACGTATGCTTGCTGCCATAACGTCAATTGAATATACAGTCTCAGACACACTTCGTACAAATTACTGTAACTGCAGTCTATGTAATTGTTTTTTTTCCTTTTTTAAAATAAATTTAACAATGTGCATTTCTTATTTTTTAAACGCGTAAAGCTTGTGTTAAAATCACTGTGTGTGTGTGTATGTGTAAACATTATTATACAATTATCTCATATGAGTGNGCAAAAATTCAAAATTAAAACAATGCAGCGATTGTTGCAGTCTCGTGCAATTTTGTGTAATTTTTCATTATTTTATTATTTTTATTTTTCAATACGTTTATTATTTTTATTTTTCAATACGTTTGTTTTGTGAAAGTTTATTACGTTACTGGGTCACGTGTGCGATTATTTAAAATAAGTAAGTTGGAATGAAGATGAGAAGAAAACTTTCGCAATTAATTAGTGTACACCGTGAATGTATATTCCGCAATTATTACAAAACTAACTTAAAGTGGCTGCGAAGGTATTTAAAGAAGGATTCCACGTTCTCTCTTCAAAGTGTGAGAGAAAGAGAAAAAAATGTTTTGCAGATAAAAAAAACTTGTATATTCAATTTGTGCGGTATCTCAACGTTATGGCAGCGCAGCATGTTTTATATTAACAATTGTTTTCATATATGTATATATCTCCATCTAAATGGAAATTTTACNTTGTTTAGCTACTTTATACAGAAATATCAAATAGTGAGCATGCTTCTTTATTCTACTCAGCATCAACTGTATATGATAATATAATACTGTATACAATGTGTAAAATATATATATATCATATATATTATATATATATATATATATATATATATATATATATATATATATCTCTATGTTGTCGTTTGCACGGTCTAAAATCGAAAAACAAATGTGTTTTGTCGAGAAATAAGATGTCAATCACTTTTTGCAACGGTACTTCATTTGTTTTCCATTGTATTAAAAAAAAAACAACACTATTAGGTAAACAGATTTGTCTGATAAACACTTCAAAAATACATGGGATTAAAATAGACTTTGTATATAATATATACTTACGATACAAGTATGCGTTATTCAAGCCATTATTCGTTTCACGAGCTTCAGTTAAGTTATATATTGAATTTACATTGAGACAAATACAAAGTGAGAAACAATAAACAATTAGTTAACAAGTTTTTAAACATAAAAAACTATTACGTTCAATTATGTGTATATATGTACTTTTATATCTCATACGTTTTANGTACAACTACTTGTGGGGAAATACGTTACACATTGATAAAATGATTTTTAACAAATACATTATAATGATTGCAAGTGTTTTTGGATATGTACACAAATGTAAAACAAGAGATTGTATTAATCGTATAAAAATATATCAGAAACAATTTACGCCTTNTGTTGTATTACTGTAAAAATGTCGTATATATTGTATAACAACAGCTGTATAAGCTGTGAAGTAAATTTCTTCGAGATTTCACGAAAACCTCGTACGTTTGATGTGCACAGAGTTTCTTGTTTTGTTAAAAATATTTTAGAAAGATATAAAAAAAATCGCGCGTCTCACGCGCTTAAAAAATTTTACGTATATCTCTAATTGCGATATAAATTATTCATATGAAGAATCTCGAAGAAATCTCGGTTTATGAGCTACAGCTACACCATGCAAATCGCTGTGATNGACAAACGGTCGTAGATATGAAGTGTGATGGGTATTAATGACAACTTACATTTCATTTNGCTGTGTCTCCGTCGGCAAACGATGTAGATAGCGACGCAGATTAATATTAGGACTAGTATAATGACCACCGCGGCGATGATGATAATCAACAGCAAATTACCGCCCAATTGGTGCCACCAGGGTATGTGACCTGCAACGCAATTATCGCAATTTGCTGCAGTGTCAATAACGATTCGCGAGCCGTGCGCACGCGAGAACGCACACGCGCGTATTCTGTTATTTGTACAAAAAAAAAAAAAGAAAATGAAGTGAATACATAACACAACAAGCAACACATATGTCTGATTTGTCGGATATCTGTGTACAAGAGCGTATGACTTTTGTCACAGATATACACAGATATATATATTGAATATCAGCCGCACCACGTTTGGAAATATGATTGTGACGCGTTATGAAATCGAGAGATAGAAACAACAACCAGCTGATTGGGAAGAACCAGNCCATATTCGTGTATTGCTTTTACAACTCGCACAACTGGTCCGTGCAGAGAAATTCTCTGTTGTCGCGTTACACCAGACACGACGTTTCGATAAAATAATATATAATTGTTCTGTTTTTTTCTTGTTTTGTTTCAATTATGCGACGAGTTTAAAACGCAATGTACTTTTCGATAATGTACGATACGGAGAATTTGTTGAAAAATTCGCAGCGTAACATCACGTAGAAATATGCCAAATGGCAATTACGTTAACGCGCGTACGTAAAATCTATAAAATACAATAATATAGACACGACTTACTTTTATGTCCATGATTAGCTGTAAAGGAACAAAATGTGTTATATATATATATATACATGTATGTATGTAAGTGATAGAATAAACCTTATTTCTTTTTAATAATTACGAGTTAGTTGATTGTCTATACAAAAACTTATAAGCCAAACGACATTTATCAACGAATTTCAAAAAAAAGAAGAAAATGGGATGTTTTTTTAAAATATATTTTATTATTTCTAGTAAAAATACTATAAATTATAATTATAAAATTATATTTTAAAATTTATATTACATTTCCGNCTTTAACGCAGATGTTTGAATTTATCTACATACGCGCGCGGACGTAGGAAATTCATTCAATTTATTCACGGTAAAAAAAAAAAGAAAAAAAAAACGAAAAGCTCTTTACTTTATTCGTAACAATTTTTCAATTATAAAATGTAAATTGACGAACTCTTTACGCAGCGTCTACAAAAAGAGTTATATAATATGTTATTTCTGTGTTTTTTTCATTACGGATTTTATTACATATTCATAGACGTTAGGGAAAAAGAGGGAAAACCTCAACTTCAGTAGCGCAATGCTTTCTAATAATGACTTTTAACACGCTGGGAAAGTATGCACTTTGACTCGTTTTGTAGCGCGGAACGATACCGTAACGAATTAATAAAGTTTTTCACCGCCTACCTGGTATGTCTCGTTCGCATGGCGCGGAGTGGCCAATCGTGTTATTCGCCACGCACACATACGTGCGCAAGTTGGTGACCGACGTATCGAGGATCATGTAACTTCTTCCGTTCCGCATTTCCGCGATTTGCTCTAGCGTGTCGTTGTCGTTCTTCAACGACCAGGTGAAGTCGGTCTCTTTCGGATTCGCGACGGACGAACAGACCACGTAGTCACGGCCTTCGATTCGCTCTTTTTCTATGTGACATTCCGGTTTAACTGCGTGGAAAACACGACAACGTTAAACGTCGGAAAACACGTAGCAAAGTAAGTGATATTCATCCTATAAAAGAGCGATTGTATAATATTGCACTTTTTGAAAAAAATTTTGTTTTAAATTAAAACTNTCTTGTTTTTCTCTCTTGTTTCGGTGCGATAAATATTTTTTATAAAAACTATCTCTATGTGCAAAAAAAATTAGTTCAAAAAAACAAATTCTGATTCTTTGTAAATAAAGTTGAAAGACAAAAAAAAAAGAGAAGATCGTACGACTGATGTTATTTTGTGGTTTTGTTCTTTTTTTTGAAAAGAAACTGCTCAATTGTGAGAAATTTTTTTCGGAGACTGTTTATTCAGTTGAATATATCTAAAAAAAAAAAAAAAAATGTAACGGAACATTTGACGTACATTGCACATTCATGATCATCGAGATATTCAGGATACCGTGACGATTCGACGCCTCGCAGTAGTAAGTACCACTACTGCGGCGCGGCACCGGTATCTTTAAGTCGAACACGTGACCCTCCATAATGGTGTCGGTCGATCCCTCGCGAAACCATCGAAAACTCGGTTTTGGTCGCGCTTTAGCGTCGCACTCGACGACGTCCGGTATTGTGTNCACCGTCACGTTGATTATCCTCTTCGATATCGTGATATCTTCCGGAGNAACTTGAAGGGAGGAAGGAGAAAAAAAAAACAAAATTTTTAATAATCGTTTATATCGCGGGTAGCGGAGAAATATAATAAAACGCCACACACGGAATCGCGTGAAGAAAAATTGTGAGACGTACATTCGACGTGAAAGTGAGTACTGCTCTCCACACCCAGTCCGATTCCGTTGCTGCTGCTCTTGCAAGTGAATTTGACATTATCCTCGGCGCGATCGAGTTGGCCGTTCGGCCAGACCGTGAGATTCCACACGAGAGTCGATTGGATACTCTCAAAATCATTGGTTCTTGGATCAGGCGGATGATAAACATTCGACACGTAGTATCGATTCGTTTTCGAAAAGTCCATAGGAACGTCATCTCTTAGCCAGGAAATATTGCAGATCGGAGCGCACTCGACCCAGCACATAATGCTCACGTTNGGCGAGTTGTAAACGTAACCGCGATATGAGTGCAGCTTCTTAATGAACGTCGGGGCCGCTAGTGAGAAAACGATAACTCTCGATTAAGCGCTTAATGAGATTTGTCATTCAATTATCAGAAGAAACGCGGTCGACGCGGTCTAGTGGATTAAATCACATGGAGAAAAGAGTTATTTTTGCGTTCAAAGCGACAAATGTTAAATTATCTGCTACACATGAGCAAACACACAAACGCGTCACGTTAAATCGAATCAGACCAGATATTATTAAAAAAAAAATAAAAAAAAAAAAGAACGAGATATGTCATACACCTAAATACAGTTGGCAACGTACAGACCACAATCACGCGGTGTTTGAGAAATTCTGTGAAATCAATTTCGAATCNAGAATATCTGAAACGTGCGTAACGTACAAAGCGAGCTGGCAAATTGGTTTGAACACTTAAATATCGCAAGTGGTCTTGCAACTCGGTAATTGTTGGCCATAGTTTCGGGTGTGCATTGACATGTGTCGCTCACCAGATACGTCGATAAACGTTGTGGCCGGGTCGCCGTCGCCGGCCTCGTTATAAGCCAGGCATGTGAAATTTGCTTCGGTTTCCAAATTAACCGACTCGATGACGAGAGTGGCGTCGTTCTCATCTGGAAGTCGGTGCCAGCCGCGCAGCCATTTGAAGCCTGACACCTTCGGCCGACCGGGATCCGTAACCAGACAAGTGATAGATAATGAATGCTTCTTCATTACTTGCGGCGGCTCGTAGAATATCGATGCCGGTCCGGGTTTGTCTGTCGAAATGGTTTACGTGAGAAAAATCACGGCGCTGCTCACGCGCCCGAAAAATTAATAACAATTTGACTTTACGTCACCGACAAGAGACACGCTAAATAATATCGATTGCGTACGGCCGCGCGCTACGGAAGTTGTCACAAATCATTAATTTACGCGATGTTCTTCTGCAATTAATATCGAATAAACACACACACACTTTTGCAAATACGTGTTGATTTGATATTGCAAAATATTATACACAAATTCATAATTAATGCGCGTACCGTATGTCAAACAATACGCTACACGTTTCCCAAAAACGTGTGTCTATTGACAATTAATATTAAATAAACATTTTGAGAATACTGTTACAATTTAACTAACTTATATAATTTATATATATACTGTGTGTATTTCGGAAAACTATATGAAACTCGAAACGCGCAAATATAAACGAGCGTAACGAGTTATGTGGTTGAAAAATAAAATGTAGGAGGACGGGGGGGAGAGAGAGAAGGGAGGGAAAAAGTTTATTTCGTGCGCGCCGCGCGAAAAACTTCTCTCCGTGTCATCGTGTAACGGGACGCGTGAGTGACGTGTGACAGAGAGAGGACTTACAATAAACTATGACAGGCGTGCTTGGAGAGACTGGTCCCCAGCCGGCGTCGTTTCTCCCCTCGCACGAGTAGTTGCCGTGGAAGGAACGACCGACAGATTCCAGCAGCAGTTTGCTGGGATCAATGTCGCAGAACGTCAACGATTCCTCGGTCGGTGTTATCATGGCGGTGCTGTTTCTCGGGCAATCCGGAAGTTCTTTCAATAGATCACCGTCCAAATACCAACGGACGNCTGACAGCACGGCCGGATTGCCGGCTTCGACCTCGCACGTTAACGAGACGTTTACACGATCCGCCTCGTTCACAGGTGTCTCTGGATCCATTATCACCTCCACCACTGGTTTGTCTACGTGGATAAAAACGAGAGAATATATACGTCCTACGCTGAAATATAAATCTCACGTGGAAGAGAAAGACAGACACGCGAGAAAAATTTTCTCTCTCTCTTTTCGATCTTATTCACGGTAAAATAAAATTCGCTTGTATTGCTTTTCAATAAAATTGTCGTTTTTT